ATCTGCCTGTTCTGCTCCCCTCTCTGTCTCTGGTGAATCCTCTCACCCTCTGCATCTCTGGCTTGTACCCCAGTTCTGTATGAATAAATAAATAAATCTTTAAAAAAATAGTAATAAGGGTATGTGTATATAATATTTAAAAAGATAAAAAAGATAAAAAAATAAACCTTCTCTCCCATTTTTTCTCCCTAGGGGCAACTACTTAGAAAAAAATTTCCTTTAATACACACACCTGAAATTTATATAATGTTACTTCAGTTTTTAAAAATGATTCTTATATGACCTGGACATATATAACTTACAACTGTACCCTTTTCTCTTTCTTTTTTAGGATTTCTAATTTCTTTATTCAAATGGCAATATATTCACTGTTCTGTAGCTGGCTTTTCTACTCAGTAATACATCTTAAATCTTCTCATTTTAACACATGTGAATTTTACCTTCCTCTTTTTAACTGCTAGAATTGATTACATTGTATAATGTGTCATAATTCATTTTACTACTGTTGTATTTTTTGTTTGAAAAAGAAAAACAGTACAATTACAAAAAAACTGTTTTTTTGTAATATTAAATATTTTTTGTATTTAAATTTTTTTTTAATTTGTGCATATAAGAACTGGGGTATAGGCCAGAGGTGTGTGATAGGGTGTTCAGAGGATTCACCAGAGACACAGCAGGGAGCAGAACAGGCAGATTGATTGAAATATACTGCTGAGGGGAGCAGCAGGTGAGACAGAAGAGGTCTGCTGCACCTTAAGGGTCAGCTCCCTGGCCTGGGATCGAACCCACACTGCATTGGCTGCTGATAGCTTGACAGCACCAACTTGAATCCCTACGCCACCTGGGAAGCCCACTATTTTTGTACTTTATGCATGTGTGCCTATATCTATGGGGTAAATTCTGGGAAGAATTGCTGGCTCAAAGAGATATCCATATCTTTGCCAAATTGCTTTCTAAAAAATTAAATAGTTTTATATGCTCAATATTGCTTCTTAGTGAACTGACCCTCGTTTATGTTAATTTTCAGAAATGGTCACATTGTTTAGTGCATAATACATAACAGCAGATTGAACCAAAGCTACTTTGTGACTTTCAGCTAGACAACACAGAATTTAGAACTTAAAGACCTTTTTTGCTTTAATCTTTAAAACCAATAGAAAACTGATAGACTACAGTTTAATGGAAGTAAGCTAAACAATATGTTAAAAATTAGAACAATATAATGGTTACTCCAAAATTTTGAGAATGTACGAAAGCTGACGGTTTTGTAATTTTTTAAAATTTGATCCCATTTTTAATTAGGTCATAACTTGATAATTATTTTTTTATATATATAATAGTTTATTTTTACATCATTTTGTGCATTTTCCCATCTCAGTTGCAATCCCCTTGGGCTTCCCATCACCAAATCACCCATCACCCATGTGCCATCACCATAGCCCAGTGCATTTCTTTCCCCCCGCTGTTTTTGATCCCATTCCCCACTCCACCCCCGTAAAATGTCTGTGGTATATAGCCGTTCATCATCATCATTATTATTTTGGGGCCTGGTCTGTTATACTCCTGCTATGAGTGAAACCATCTGGTATTTTTCCTTTTCTTTCTGGCTTACCTCACTAAGCATGATCTTCTCCAGCTCCATCCATGTTGCTGCAAAAGGCATGTGTTCATTTTTTCTGGTTGCTGAGTAATATTCCATTGTGTATATGTACCACATCTTTTTAATCCAGTTATCCACTTTTGGGCATTTGGGTTGATTCCATGTCTTTCCAATTGTAAATAAACATGGGGGGGGTGCAGGTGTCTTTTTGAATCAGTGTTTTTGTGTATTTTGGGTGGATACCTAGGAGTGGGATTGCTGGGTCATATGGAAACTCCATTTTTAGCAGTTTGAAAAACCTTCAAATAGCTTATAGTGGTTGTACTAGTTTGCATTCCCACCAGCAGTGCAGGAGAGTTCCTTTTTCTCTACACCCTCACCAACATTTGTTGTTACCAGTTGTTTGAAGGTGTGCCATTCTCACAGGGGTGAGGTGGTATCTCATTGTGGTTTTAATTTGCATCTCCCTTATTACAAGTGATGTTGGACATTTTTTCATATGCTTGTTGCCATCTGCATTTCCTCTTTGGAGAAGTGTCTTTTTAGCTCTTCTGCCCATTTTTTGATGGGGTTGTTTATTTTTGTTGAGTTTCATCTCTTCTTTGTGTCTGTGATCAATCCTTTATTGCTAGTTTTGTGAGAAAATTTTTTTTCTCACTCAGTGGAATGTCCCTTTGTTTTTTGTAATGTCTCCTTTGCTGTACAGAAGCTCTTTAACTTGATGTCGTCCCATCTATTTATCCTTGCCTTCACTATCATTGCATTAGGTGCTCTATCTTTAAGATGTCGCTGAAGTGTATATCGTATAGTGTTTGACCCATCTTTGAAAGCTGATACTCATGTTTCTTGTTTTAAAAAGCCTATTCTGTACAGTGTCAAGATACTATTTTTAATCACTATTATTTTCCAGTGACAGAAAACCATCATGCCATTTGGCTTATGTGCTTAGGAAACTCAAAGGACAGACTGCCAGGATTCACATTAGTGAGTCTGTCACATATCTTCTACTTCTGCCTTTGCCTTCCATCCTTGTTCTTGTCATTTCTTGAGGGAGTAGTAGCGGATTAGCCATGGACATTTACTGGCCACCGTCATGGGTAGAAACAACTTGAGAGCACCTCTTGCTGGGTGCCTGAATATAAAATCCCTGGCAAAGACTCCTGCTGTCCTGCCTCGGGTCCGGTCTCCATCCCACTCAGGAGATGGGCTACTTAACTGGGGGCCTGTTACAATCACATGGCGTGGGGTTCTCTAAAGGGAATGATGCCAGGCAGATGCTTACAGTCAAAGAAATAGATGTTAAACTTCCTCCTGTGGCATAAGAAAAAGTTGGATGTTCAGTTGGGGAGATGGAATACCATGAAAAGGTAACGTTTAAAGTAACACATGGTTCAAAGGCGGCAGGATATCAGAAGAGCCTGGGGAGTGAGAATGATCTTTTGGCACCAGAGTTAAACCTCAGAGTGTTGTGGATGTTCCCCATCAGTTGATTTTTCCTTTATAAAATTCCATCTGTCCTTTTCCTGTTCTCGCAGCCAGGTTCTCATCTCCTTTATTCTGTCAGAAGATGTGCTGCCTCCATAGGTTCTGCACACGGACGCCAGAGATATCTGCCCCATTTTTTCTTTTCAAATACTATAATAAAGATGTGCATGAGATATTAAAAAACATAAAACGGTAACAAAAATATTAGTCTTCTTTCCTGTTCCCCAGTTTTTCTGTATACTGGATCATTCTCATGTCCCTGACCTGCTCAGAAAATCTATAGTCGCCCTTGTTACTTTGCCAGAACAAAGTACTCTACAAAATCCCGAATGTCACATTTCAGGACCGTTGCGTTTGGGACCAGAAGCTGGTTTTCCAGCCTTTCCTCCATGACCCGTCGTTTGGACTCCTGACCGCACCTTGCACACACAGCTGCGGGGACACGAGCGCAGTTTGCTCTCAGTTACGCACTTGGGTTTATTCCGCCTCCCACTGCAGTCTTCCTTTTTACTCCTTTCCTGCTTTCTCTCGTGTACTTGTGTGGGTGAGTCCCGGATCACTTCCAGAAGACAGTGAAATAGACTGGATGAGCCCGGTGATGCTTACTAGCCTAGTGTATCTGTGATTTAGTTGAATCCATGAAAACTGCATCTGTGTCAACAGCGCCACGTTTGTGTGGCGCACCGAGATGGAACAGCTGTTTTCTCACCGTGTCAGCTCACCACGTGATGTCTGGTCCCGAGTGAGCCCATGGCCTTTTTCTGTGGAAGTAAAGGGCATGTTTTTATTTGGGAAATGTGTATTCTAGGGAATGGATATTGGGGATACTTTGTGTACAGTAACAAATTTGACCATTGCTACTTGTTTTAGCTAGTTTTCCCCCTCATGCCATCTAACCTTTTAGTCTGCAGATAATAAGAGTAAGCTAGAGAGAGGCAAGGAGGGTGCAGGAATGAGGGAGGGGGGGGAGAAGGTTGTCAGGAGGTCACCCGCAACCCCAAATCATGATTACTAAAAACTCAGCTGCACAAAAAGGAATTTAATATGAATGGTGTCACTAACATTTCTGATATTTAAGAATATGTTTTCCAATCTGAACATCATTGGAAGAATGTAGTAATAATACAGGCATAGGAGTTCAGAACAAACTTGTTTCTTTCCAGTTTGTGTATACATCAGGAAGGTTCCGAGGATTAAGTGGTGTGCGAGCTTGTTACAAACAAAGGTCTAAGTGCTGTGTATATGGATACATTCACATACACACACTATTCTTGTACATCATGGGAAGTAAAGGCCCGAGGTTGCTTAGCTGACTGCTAAAAAGTACAGCTTGTTGTGGGTTTCCTAGTGAGGCCCCCTTTTTTCTCCCAGCTGGAACCCTTTGCCTCTCCTTCCTCCTCCGTCCTTCCGCCTTCCTGTCTCAGCCTTGGCCCTGTGCTTCCTGCGGCCCTCCCCATTCTGTGGCTCTCAGGAAGTCCCCTGGCACAGAAGGGTGCGACACCAGAGCGCTTCCTGTCTTGGTGAGGTCGCTGTAGCTGACATGGTGAGGTCTCTTGAGCCTGTGCTCTTACATGGAGATTCTTTTCTCGCCTGTTTCCTTATCAAATCTGTCACTCCTGGTTACCTATAAGCATTAGGTAACCAACCCCTCTGGGTAGTTGAGAGCTGATAGACCTCAATAGTTGACTTTCACTTAAAATATAATGGGATGAATCTGAATTTAGATGTTCTATAGACTTAAATATGGTAGCTAAATTACTGCTTTTTGATGTTATTTTAACTTGACAGTTACCAGATAAATAGAAATATCCCTATTTTTTGAGGCATATGTACCAATAGGAAAAACTGGGAAGCCCTAGTTTTTATAAATCATGTAGGGCATTGATTTATAATTGTATCATTTCTTTACTTACAGGTAGAAGAAAACCAAGAGTACATCGGCCTCGTTCTCCGATACTGGAAGAAAAAGACATCCCACCCCTTGAATTTCCCAAGTCCTCTGAGGATTTAATGGTGCCTAACGAGCATATAATGAATGTCATTGCCATCTATGAGGTACTTCGGAACTTTGGCACTGTTTTGAGGTTATCTCCTTTTCGCTTTGAGGACTTCTGTGCAGCTCTGGTGAGTCAAGAGCAGTGCACACTTATGGCAGAGATGCATGTTGTACTTTTGAAAGCAGTTTTGCGCGAAGAAGACACTTCCAATACTACCTTTGGACCTGCTGATCTGAAAGATAGCGTCAATTCCACACTGTATTTCATCGATGGGATGACATGGCCCGAGGTGCTGCGGGTGTACTGTGAGAGCGACAAGGAGTACCATCACGTTCTTCCTTACCAGGAAGCAGAGGACTATCCCTACGGACCAGTGGAGAACAAAATCAAAGTTCTGCAGTTCCTAGTCGATCAGTTTCTCACCACAAATATCGCTCGAGAGGAGTTGATGTCTGAAGGAGTGATCCAGTATGACGACCACTGTAGGGTCTGTCACAAACTTGGGGATTTGCTCTGCTGTGAGACGTGTTCTGCAGTATACCATTTGGAGTGTGTGAAGCCACCTCTGGAGGAGGTGCCGGAGGATGAGTGGCAGTGTGAAGTCTGTGTAGCACACAAGGTGCCTGGTGTGACTGACTGCGTCGCTGAAATCCAAAAAAACAAACCATACATTCGACACGAACCTATCGGATATGACAGAAGTCGGAGGAAATACTGGTTCTTAAACCGAAGGCTCATCATGTAAGTAAACGTGGTCTTCCTCGCTGGTGGGGCAGTGCTGTGCTTCTGGCGCAATCTAGACCTTTGTGACTTAGGGCGTTCTTTAAAGTGCTGACTGTGTGAACATGTGCGTTAATACAGTTTTTAAAATTGTAACAGTATAAAAAAATCAACACCATTCTATTCCTTAGGACAGGAAATAGGCCAGTGGTTTAGGATGCTACTGTGTACCCTTTCCCTGTTTTATTCCCTGTAGTCGACCTTGAGGTAATGTCCACCCTAACTTTGGTATTAGGTTTTTGTGGGTTCTCTTTTTAGTTTTACTGTATCTGTATATAAATGGAGCAGCAGGAACACGCCAGCTATGTAGGGAAGATGTTTTGCCATAACTGGCTGCAGGCTCCAGGAGACTTTAAGCCTGAAATTTAGGTTTAGTCTGAGTTCAGCTCTCCACAGGGTTTCTAAGAGGCTCCTGAGGCCAGGTCAGGGGCAAGCCAGGAGGCAGTGAGGGTTTACCTCAGTCAGGTGTCGGGCAGGGCGGTAGTGCATTGCCCTTGGCCAACCTGTGGAAACGTGGTTCAAGGGAGAAGGCTACTTTGCGCTTTCAAGTTCTAATGTCTTCAAAGCCTTCTTCCAGTGTTCAGAATTAGAACAAGTCAGAAAATTTTTGATGTGATGATACGAGTGTGCAAGCTGGGCGTGATTAGGGGAACAGGGATCTCATCAGTCCATGGTCAAGCCAAGCAGATAGAGGTTATGTCAACTGGGCCTCTGCAATTGCAAGAGTGGTACAAAGTAAGCAGAGCTCTCCAGAATTTCGTACCGTTGTCTTCTTGCTGTGAAGAAATCTGAGTCCATACACAGTTGTGATTCTTTGTATATGACTGGTTTGGCCTTATCTAGAAACCTACAGAACCTTCTCTCTCTGTCTCTAGTGTTCTGTAGTTCATAGTGATGTGTCCTTTGTGGGCCTGTTTTTATCCATTGGGGGCTTGGTGGGCACTTTCCATCTGGCAGTTGAGTCCTTTGGTTCTGAGAACTTCTCAAGGACTTGTTTGTCTCCTTTTCTAAAAGATTTCCATATGCTATTTAGTTTTCTCTTCTATTTTTATTTTCTAGATTGTTTTTGCTGTTAGAATCTTCCCTTTTTTGTGTAGTCTCTTCTAAGTTGCTTCTTCCTGATACATATTTTGGACTGTCTTTTCACCCTCAAATATCTGTCTGTAATCTTCAATTTTCTGTTCCTGGTTAGCTTTGTGGCTGATGCAGCTGGAGTATAGATTGGAAACTCTGAGCAAGTTGGTAGGTCTTACCAATATTGAACTCAACCACTGGGTAACTTTCTTAAGCTTTACTGGGAGCTCCTGGTGCACTATCTATAGGGCCGTCCTTTGAGCTGTTGAGCTGACCCAAGATGCTTTTTCCAGTGTTCTAAGGGAGCGTGAGGGTTGGCTGAGTGGCAGTGGGCTGCACTGGCTCTCTACTACACCTTGGTTTCCTGTACACACCTTTGTTCACACCTGTGCCTGGGTTTCTGCATAAAGAGAACATTCTGCCTCCTTTAGAGATGAAACCTTCAGTGACTGGAGGGGGATAGATGGATTGGGGATCTGCTATTCTCTGCTGTAGATAGATTCTCCTCTCCCCACTTTCAGTGCTTCTGAACATGGTTGTTGGCTCTGAACTTCACCCTCTTGATCTGCAGTTGGGTTTTCTTGGCTCTACTAAAAACACACTTCTACTTAGATTTCTTTTCTATCCTGTTGTCCTTGTCTTTGTGAGTTTATGAGTTTTAAAGTATTTCTTTCATATTATTTTAAGCGGGTTTCAGGAGGAACCAAAGTGGGATGTATGGATTTGGTCTATCACGTTATCCAGGTATAGAAGTAAGAGAGTTTATAAAGTTTTAAAATGCATATCTTGCACCCTTGTTTTGGACCAGTTTTTTATTTAAAAAACCTGTAACTTGCTTTCTTGCCCATGACCTCTCAGTTATCTGCCTCAGTGTTCATTGTCTGGTCAGTGTCTGCAATCAACGTGGTGGCATGGACACTCTTGGCAAGGTCATTATCACCAATGAGATAACTGTTCACGTTTTGGTTTGAAGTTTAATGTATTTCATCTTCAGGGAAAAGTCGGTGACCCTGACTGTCCCTCAGTGTCAGATGCCTTCCAGAAAGGGCTCAGAGGCATCAGAATTGCGGTGAACAAGTTAGGAAATATGGGAAATTTATTTCATGTTCCTAATATGCATGTTCCTTTTCCTGCTCCCTTCCTGGCGTTGCCTGTCCTCGCCTTTCTGCGTGTTTGCCCTCACCAGCTCTCACTTCCCTCCGTGGGCTGCCCTTCTGCACCACAGGTGCTTGTCACATCTCCATAGGTGCTGACAGCTTGTAAAAGCTTACTACCCAGTCATCAGCGTTCTGGGTCTTGGCTTTAGGGACCTGCAGGTGGAAGTAGTTGGTGAAGAGCTAGTAATGACAGCATTTATCAGTCAATTAGTATGTGCTTCACAATGTCCTAAAGTTTTATGTTTTTTTATTGATTGTTTTAATCTGTGCAACAGTTCAGTGATGTAGGAACTATTTTTATATGCATTTTCTAGGTGAAGAGAGTCAGGCTCAGGGAGGTTATATAACTTGCCCATGGACACCCAAAACTCTACTTGGCAGTGGAACCTGAACTTTTTTTCAGAGCCTGTATAATATTTTCAATAACTAATTTTGCGCGGTAGTGTAGTTCCTAGCCATCATCTTGGGAAGTCTGCAGCTTGCATTGTTTCAGCTGTTATAATCCATGCTTGTAATTGGGATAGGAAGAAGAGAATGCACTGGTTTAGCTGTTGGGTATTTCTGAGAGTTTTTAGAATCTGAGGTAAAGTAGTATGCCAGTGGTACATCCATAAAAGATTTAAAAATAAAATCTGAGGTAAAGGCCTTTTTGAGAAAGTATGAACTAAGTGGTGTTTCAAAAAAAGAAATTCTGCGTCCTGATAAATCATTATCAATATATAAAGCAATGCTCAGGCAAGCGGGGGGAGCCCTTTGCCTACCGGTAAATACATGCAGACCTTTGAAATTTCATGTGTCAAAGCACCTGTGGATGGATTTTTGCTGCATTATTGATAAAATGAAATAACCTACTTTTCTAGGTTGAATAATTACAAGAAATTTTTTTGGTCTAATGAGTGTAATAGAGATAGGTGCACATGTAATTTCCAAAGGAGCTTTATTACTTTACCTTATGGCATTTGATGATGTGTTCTCCATGCCAGCTGTATACTTAGGGGGACGATTATTTCAGGGAATGCGTAGACCTTTGCTTCCTTTGGCTTCCTGTGTCCGACCTTAGCTGGAGATGCTGGAAGTCTGAGGTCAGAGAAGCAGCCTGGTTGGAGGTGATTCTCCTCCAGACTGCAGACTTCACCCGGAGCCCTCACATGAGGAGTGGCAGAGGCTTTATTGAAGATACTTTGGTACTAAAATACTTAAGTTTATTTGCTTCAAAGGCATTAATTGTAGTTCTTTAGATATTCTTTCTGTTTTTTTTTTATAAGATTTATTTATGCATACAGAAATGGGGTAAAGGCCAGAGGTGTAGGGGCGGTGAGAGGATTCACCAGAGACAGAGTGGAGCAGAACAGACCAATAGAGGAAGGGCGAGACAGGAGAGGTCTGCTGTGCCATGTGGGTCACCTCTGGGCCGGGGATTGAACTTGCACTGAAGTGGCAGCCGCTAGCTTGCAGTGCTGAGTCACCAGGGAGGGCCTCAAAGTTTTCCATAAAGCATAAAGTACACTAAAGTTAATGAGCATTTCAGCTGGAACATCTTTTTTCATGCTGTGACACTTATTTTCTGTGTAGAGTTAAATACAAAATTTTAAATAGCATTATTCAGTGATAAGTTAGTGTTCTTTGTTAATTTGAGTAAATCGGAAAGATTTTGCATCTTTTATCAGCGCTAGATTAAAACTGTTTAAATTTGAGTGCCCCCTTGTGGTAGGTTCCGCATGAACAGTTCCAAGCCATGTGACTGACTGCTCTTGCCAGGCTAGGGCTTTGGGGTGGGCTCTACCTGGAGCGGCCTCTCAAGTGAAAAATCAGTTACTTCTACTTGTTAACAGAAGGATCAGAATTTCAAAGAAAATGTGTTTGCTTAATGCATCTACTACCCAAAGCAAAATAAGCAGCAAACAAAGCACTGGAAGATCTTTCATCTGGTTTATCCTTCAGGGCTCAGCCTGTGCAGACTGCTCCCTAGGGCATTCTTCCCACAACTGTTCTCCTTGCCCCTGGGCCTTTTTTTTTTTTTTTTATAAACACCCACCCCATTGTAACTTTGTTTTAAGGTAAATGTCACATACTTCTTAAGAGGAAAGTAAGAGCAGCTTTGCCTATTGCACCCACTAGGTGCTTGTGAGAGGACTTACCAGAGACAGAGAGGAGATGAGAACAGGCATATCTACTGAAACACACTGCTGAGGGGAGCAGCAGGCAGGAGAGGAGAGGTCTGCTGGGCCCTGTGGGTCACTCCCTGGCTGGGGATTTGTGCTGCAGTGGCTGCGATAGCTTCATGGTGCTGTGCTTTCACCCCATACACCACCAGGGAGGGTCTGGTCTAAGGCTTTTTCTATGAAGTGCCTCCTAATTTTACAGCCTTTTCCAATCACTTACTCCAAAGCCACTGTACATTTTTAATATTGGCTATAGCAACACACCATTTCTTGGTACCAAAATCTGTTTTTGTTACCTAGGGCTGCCATAACAAATTGCCATAAATGAAAACAACAGGAATGTATCTCTCACAGTTCTGGAGGCCAGAAATTTGAAATCATGGTATCAACAAACTATTTCTAAAGAAGCAATTCCAATAGGGGACAGACTGCCGCAATATGAAATAGTGAATTCTCAGATTAAAATTCAAATGAAGAGTTCCTTATTCAGGTGGACATTCTGTCGATGCCAGTAGGGACTAAATCAGCTGCTTGGGGCCCCTTCAGAAGTCTTGCTTGCAGAAGAGGCAGTGTCCTTTTTTTTCCCCCCAAGAATTTATTTATTTATGCATACAGAAATGGGGTATAGGCCAGAGGTGCAGGGGCAGCGAGTGGGTTCAACAGAAACAGTGGGGAGCAGAACAGGCAGATCTACAAAGTACACTGCTGAGGGGAGCAGTGAGCGAGATAGGAGAGGTCTGC